CCCCCAGCCGATGGGTGTCATGAGTACTGTACTTGGCACCGCACAAATTCTTGCAAGCTTTCAGACAGAAGCTAACCCAGTTCACACTTAACGTTTCCTTCACCTGACATCCAGATTTGCTTCATTTTCTTATTCCCACATAACTCTGCCTCGCTTGCTGAAGGAGTTACCCTCAGGCATAAGGGACCTCATGCTTGGGACAGACACGTTAGCCTGAGTGTTGCCATAAATGAAAGCTTGATCAGCCAAGCGATACCTTCCATGTAGATCCCACCAGTCTCAGTGGCTGCAAGGGTGGAAGGGGACACCCTTCCAGTGTGAGTGAGCTACTCACTGTGTAACACACGCACATACACACTTGCTTTAGTTTCATGATCCCTTGCTCCTCCCTCCCGAATCATTAAGCGTCCAGAGCCCTCTTCTCCAAGCCCGTCTCTATTTCCGATAAGCAAACACGAGTTACCTTACAAAGGGAAATCTGGCTAATGAATCAGATAGCACATTTTCTACTTCAGCGAACATTTTAATTATTGCCAAGATAACACAGCTTGAAGAGGAGAGCATCCCAGTACAGAAGAGAGCCTTGCTTTGTCTCAATACCTGATGACTAATTTCTCCCTGAATTAAACGTGAAAATCATTAAGTTTGAAAATTACCTCGCTGAAGTGTGGTGAAGCCTCAATGGACCCCTATTTGCATTTTGAAAATCCATCCCCCACATCCCCTATGGTGTACCAGGGTCTGGCAGACGACAGAATTTTCTGGTGTTGGCTTCTGTTTTTCCTTAGGGTTTTTTTTGGTGTGAAATCTAATTGCACTGGCCTCAGCAAGTAAAGGAACAGCTCTTTGTCAAGGCTCTGCTAGGGTCCCCTTGGTTCTTTCTGTGGGGGGGCAGGGGGAAAGGGTTATAATTAGTTTTGATCCAACTTTTTTGGAAGGGACCACTCCACAGTTTCTGGTCTCTTTACATCACAAATGTTTTTTCATGCTATATAAAATACTTGCTTCCTGAGGATTTGCTGAACATAATGAAGGTGCAGGAGGCATAGTATTTTTTACGAGAACAAGGGAGAGGGAAAAGAAAAAGAGAGGAAAAAAAAATACTGTGAGGGAGGAAGAGGAGTGTGTGGGGATTCAGATGCGGCTAGATCTCAGAAACCACCTGCTACCTCCCTCAATTCTCTGCTGGCCACCTACAGAATTTCCCCTTCTTGCCAGGAAAACGAGGGAAAATGCGAAGGTGGACTTGGCAGTGCTGAGCCTAGAAAGCCATATTTAAGGTATTAATGCCTGTTGTGCCTCTGGAGTTCAGTTTGTTTGAGATTAATGGATTCCTCAAGATGTAACTTTGTGCCAATTCAAATGGAAAGACACAAAGGTCTACCACTAACTTTATCCACCAAGTAATAACAATGACAGCCTCTCTTTTGCAGAAGGGAGTTAAAGATCATGGACATTTATTTCTGAAGTTGGCAAGGCTCGTACCAACCCATCATGCATTGCCAGGACCAAAATTCATCCTTCATACTCAGGGAAGGACAGCAAAGATTTTGCAGAGTTATTGCACCATCTCACTCAAGAGAGGAGGCCCTTGTGTCAACGAGACCCATCACTTCATCATTGCTTCTCCTCTCTGTGTGTCTGGGTGTGTTTTCTGGGACAGATCCTGTCCTACAGTGCATGTTTGACCAGCGTCTACTGCAACGAGGCTCTGTACCAGCTGGAGGGTATGATACAAAACCCAGTGCAAAGAACACACAGGCAACGGAGGCAATGCCTGGCAGCCTCCATCATGTCCTCAGCTAGGAGCCAGGGCCAGCTCGTTCCCTTTCATTTTCTAAGGGAAATGACAGGAGGCTCCTCATAGAAATGAATATCCTTTTGTCTTGCCACTGCCACCTGTTAAGATGAATCATTTGACCCCTGCCGCTGCTTTATCTATCTCAGTTCTTGGGGTGAAATACCTCTGAGAATAAGATTAAAAGTCAGCAGTGAAGTTTAAAAATCTCTTGATAGTTTAGAGTGACGTGCTTTCAGCTGCCTGGCATATGGTGCTGGGTATGAAGAGGGAAGGGAAAATGTCTGGCGAGGGACAGTAAAGCCCTGGAGAACACAACAGCTAAGTGTAGTGTTTCTTCACTGGAGCTGATCCCAGCAGAAGTCATGGGAAATGTTACTCTGTGCCTCGCTGGCCCAAAGGTTAGCTGAACGCTTTGTAGCAGCACTTCGGAGCTACAAATTTGAAGTTCATTTGCCAAATGGGAAAAGGAAAAGGTTTTTTGGATTCAAAAGAGAGTCTCAAAAAATCTTCTTGAAGAACCCACAAGCTATATCAGACTTGGCACAGAAACACTCACCTTCCCATGCTCAGAAGGATGACTTCATTTAACATCCTTATGCACCCTCTACACTACAGAAAACGACGGCAGAAAAGCACTTTCGATTGCCATGGCAAGGTACACTGAGAACAAGAAACCTCAGCCTCTTACAACTGCTGAAGTACTTAAAACCCAACACTTCAGTCCTTCCATTTGCAGCGTTGGTCATAGGATCATCCATAGGTTGGAAGGGACCCAGGAGGATGTCCCAAAGCTCTCCATCACTCCTGCTAATCTCTTGACTTCCCACCTTTTAACACGCCAAGCGACACCTGTGCCGAGGCATCAAGCATCCCCGCTATCTCCTGCTGTGGGGCCAGCTGTGGGTGACAGGCCATGGGCTTGACAAGCAAACACACTTATGTACACCAAGTAGCTTTGATTTGTCACTAAACATCAGGGAGTACCAGGGATAATTGGCAACCTCATTACATGAGGTTTAACTACTCTCCAGAAACGACAAACTATAATCATCACGTTGGTGCTTGAAATGAATTGTTTGGAACATTACAATCACCAAGGCCCCTTTTTCCAGTTGGAGCACCCTACAGAGACATGTTTTCAATTTGCAGTAAAGATGAGGAACACAGAAAGTAAAGTAATAAATTGGAGGGAGGTTTACAGCCCAGTCCACCTAGGACAGTACGGTGAGGGAAAGGCGAAATACAGCATTGAGCCAAAATACTACTTTCTAACAGCAACGTAGGCAGCAAGCCTCAGATCTGAATAGAAAACAAAAGGCAAAGTCTCCACCTGGCTTGAGAAATAAGGGATGAAGAAAATAGTGCAGGCAGCAAGAAGAAAAAACCTCCTGGAAAGAGGCAGCTCCTATAAAAGAGAAGATGGAGTGAGGCAAGAGGTGCTGAAGATATCTCAGATGAGTTTAATATGTCCAAATCTGTGTGGACTTGGCAAAATTAGCATCATGAAGGATATGAAGGAAAAGGGTGATACCCATGTCAAAGAGGCTTCTCGGCAGATACAAGCGTGAAACAACAGTAATGTTCTCACTGATGGAAAGCAGGTCCCTCTAGATAATCAGCTTGCCTTCGGCAACCACCTTTGCTCAATTTCAGAGGGGCATGTAAACCTCCCTCACCCATGTCATGGAGGTCACGGCAAGGCACAGTATCTTTTCGGAGACAGACATACTCTGCCTGACCTCAGCTGCTGCTCAGCTTCTGCCCCGAAGCGGGCAGGTTGAAGGCCTTTCTGAAATAATCAAAGCTTCTGATAACAAGGATGCTGGCTTTGAAAAAGTCAAGAACCACCTGTCAAAAAAGCCCTCATCCTCAAGAAAGCCAGCTCACAGGAAGCTCGGAGACCGATGGGACCTGATGTGGGGCCTTTTATGATCAGCCACCTCCCCTTTATCTACGATTAGGATTTCTCAGCAAGCCTTTTAGATGTTGGTGGCGAGCCAAGATCCAAATCCAAAAAGGCATTAAGGTCATGCTACCTGTCTGGATCAGGGCCAAAGACTCAGCACTATGGCCATGAATTAAGGTACAGATGGAACCCTCCCCAAAAGGTTGTCACTATGACTTGTTAGAGCCGTGAATTTAAAACTACTCGTGTTAGCCGTTAATCCCACTCAATCCTATGAACTCCCATCGAGGACTATAGGCTCTCCATGACCCAGGACACCCCCCTGCACAGCTGGGAGCTTCTGGCCCAGCACTATATGTCTGCTCCTAGAGAGCACTTTTGGGGAGAGAAATCCAGGATTCAGAGCAGCTCCTTCTCTAGATATTCAGCAGATTGGTGCACAGAGCAGGAAGGACCCGAACAGAAGACAAGACAGCTGTCAGCTGTACATCCCAGCTCTCCTACGCTTTTGGAAATGAGGCTGAACAGAAACCAAAACGTTTCCAAATCTAGGGAATTCGCAGGTTTGAAATTCATTTAATTCCACAGTGAGTTTTCTTTTAATTCCTTGCGAATGAGCTTCTCGCTCCAAACCTGAAGGATTCCATATCAATTTCAATCCTTTTAGGTTTTTAATCTCTCTCACTAGACGGGCAGGTGGAAGGTAATGGATTTCTGGTTTAAATCATTGCAAAACAAAATGCATTTAGAGTAGAATGTTTCAGAGGTGTTAAAGATAAAGCCAAAGAAGCATTTTGAAACCAAATTTCATCAGAACTGACCGCTCAATTCAGTAGATGCAACATTTCTGTACGAAAGAATAAAAAAGATTTTAACAAAACATTTCCAAGCACGTCCTGGAGCAGGCGGTGGGTTAGAGGCGGTGTGTTAACACCGAGGGGGAGGGCAGATGCCGGACAGACACGAGCAGAGGGCACAGGTGCCCCGACACAGCCGAGCATCGTCTCCAGCCCTGAATAGCACAGAGGTCCCCACAGCAGACCAGAGGAAGGAAAGCAAAGCTGTGCCCCGATGACAGCAAAGACTGCCGCAGCCCACGCCTGAAGCGCTTCCACAGACCATACGGAGAGTGGAGAGCTGGAAAACCCTGCCAGGCTGCCAGCCGAGAGCAAAGAGCAACAGCAGCATTTATCCCTCCTCTCCCTGCTATTAATCCTTCACTTCCCTGTGCTCCCAAATGGATTTGCGTTGCTTAACTGAAATACTAATCAGGTAAAGCAGTGCAGCATTCACACGCCAGTTTAGCAACGGTAAGCACCTCCCAGGACTGTCCCAAAGCTATTTTGCCCAACCTGCCGTGTCCCCTTGCAGAGCTGCTGTGGCAGCCACCCACCACCTCTGCTGCCTTTGATTGCCTCTTCACCTCGTGATGTTCAAAGGCATAGTTTTTGTTTCAAGTTCAAAGCTCCTCTTAAGGATGCTTCTTTTCCCAGCGTGAAAATACTCCACAGGAAGAGATGCCATGGAGTCCCAAAAGCTGGGCCCTCCCTCCTGTTTAGACCTTGATAGAGATGTAAAAGACTTTTTGACACTTGGAGCACGTTGCTTTTATATCAGTCCTAGCTCTTCTGTGTGCTGAGGCTAGAGAAAGCCAAGGAATCTCACCCAGCCCTGCATCTCACTGTCTTTCAGCTGATCTTGTAGTGTCTCGAGCATCCTCCCATGTGCCAGACATGCCACGTCGCTGGGTGACAGCTGTGACCCAGCTGGGAACACGTCTCCAACTGACACCGCCCCGCTTCCTCTCCTGCCATGTCCACTCACTTGCAGCAGTTGCTGTAAGGCTTAGGGAAAAAATAAAATAAAATAAAAAATAATCAAACCTCTTTGATAGCCAAAAAGGAGACCCAGCTTGGTCTCTAAGGATGCACTGTTGACACATAGTGTGTCCAGAGAAACAAATCTTCCTCCCCACACTGTGCACAAGAGATGGACAATCCACACCTCCATGCAAACGTGGACTTAGAGCCAGTGCACACCTGTCCAGGACCGAGCTGGAGAAACAACACTTGCTAAAAAGGAGTCAGAGTTACGGCCACACAAACCCTGATGAGCACTTCCACACCCAACCGCATGTACTGGTACCTCCTCTGCTGTTCAGCTTCACAAATGCAGGCAAATCCAAAGCCCATAATAGACAGAAGACATGACTACGCATGCACATACAATATATACTGTATATAATTACCAGTCCTTTTTATCCCAGGAAAAAGACTACACAGTCTAACTTTCCCCAAAGGAAACTTTATACAATCAACAAATAGATTAAAGATACGAGGTCCTGCCACACAGGAATGCATATATATGTTTCAGCTGCTGGCAAAATAATGTATATGCACAGCAAGATTCAACCCATCACCTTAAACAGGGCTCATCAGAAATGAGTGAGGCGTGTTTGCCTTCTCCTGGGGTATGTGTCCAAACATCTCCTCCAGGCTGGCACTTCAGCAAACAGGACTCTTGACCACGTTCTGACTGTGACAATAGGGGCAAGGGACTTGAAAGGAGATGTCAGCTACCAACACCACGTCGTCTGTGACAGCCTCAAAAGCATAACTAAAAAGGTCATTCCTTGTCTTATTTGGTGTGATGTAAATTGTATTTCAAAGTCCATCTACAAAGAGACTTCTGGAAGGCCGACTGATCCAAAATGGGGTTACCTGCAATAAGATGACTAACGTTACTGCCTCCTGATGTAATCAATACTTTAAAGCATGTGGATGTGGCAGTTGAATTTCTCTACTTCAAAGAGCAATAGATGCTCTAGCAACCCCCCCATAGCCTCTCTGTGGGCAAGAAACTCAGCTTGCTCAGCACCATCCTCGGGCAAAACTGCTGCCTCTCCATGCAGCAGGAACATACTGTATTCTTTAATTCCTCTATAGCAAAGTCTGCAAAAATTTCCAGTGCCTCTTCCAAAAACACAGTGGCCTGAAGCAGACACTGCAATGAGTCCACAACAAAAGCCACAGAATTATCCAGATGGATGTAACAGGAAAAAGCTCATTCCCCAAACCCAAGAAAATCCTTGCAACAAGGACAAAAGGATGATGAAATTCCTTTTACTGACAAATTTTCAAACAATTTATCTCTTTACCTTTCTTTTGAATTTTCTCATCGAGTCAAAATCTCACATCTTTGACCTTTCCTTAATGAACAACCACATCAACTATTCAAGGCATTTTTATATTTCAGAATACACTTTTTTCCCCAAAGTCTCTTTTTCCTTCCTACCTGCAACTCATTCAACTCCCAATTAAGGCGACTGCGCAGGGAGTAAGTGATTTTGTCCTCATTTATCTAAATGCATCAGGCAGTAACGAAACCCCCTCTGCCACAGTGACAGAGAGTGGGAAGCAACCACCAGCGCTACAGAACCACCCTCTCAGATGAAGCATTTTCTAGTGCAGCCTGTGGAAAGAGTATCTGCCCACACTCCCCAGCAAAATATTGGATCCTTAACTGACCTTAATTAGAGGCAAGTCTGTTTCCATCGCTGCAGGACACGACGTGGGGTTTTCTACGCTAATTTGCTGCAAGCCACGTTCTGCCCTGCCACTTTGCTGCTATTCTGGGCTGGTATCTACCTTAGTTTATGAGCTGCGGTGGTGCCCAGCGTCACTGCTTTGTACCTGGCACTGCGCTAAGCTGCAGCACCAATGCCGAGAGCTCCCAACTTCTTTTAACTGCCCTTGCTGGCTCCCTCGCTTTTTCAGGAGGCAGAGAGGAGCAGGACAATAGAAGGGAAAGAAGTTCACAAATTGCTTTAGCAACTATGTTGCCCTTCACTTTTTTATCAACTCTACAAGACTATCGTGCATTTCTGAAGCTTTGTAGTTTAAAAAAACCCTAAACCTTTCAAGTGGAACAAAGTCTTTCTCTAAAATGAGGACAATGCCAGAGACAATTAGAAGCTAGGGACTGAAATTTCACGATACTGAGTTTTTTAGGGGATTTTTTTGGGGGTAGAGGTAGATAGCCCAAATCAGAGACCAATTATAAATCCAACCAGGTGTTAATCTGTCACTGACTCTCACAGAAAATGTGACAAGAGCCCACATCTCACCTCGCAGCTGCTGGAAGCAGGTCGTGCTGCTCTCCCCCTCCAGAGCGTGCCGCAGGACCCCGTTGCTCGGCTTGGGTCTCTCGTAGTCCCTCTCGGGAAGCATGGCCTGCTCGCTCTCCCCAGCATGCTCTGGCCGCGGGGGCAAGGACTGCGGGAAGCCGAACATCGGCAGGGACGAGAAGAAGAGTAAGGCACCACACAGCAGGAAGCCTCCCCACCACGCACCGATCCACCGAGGGTCATCTGGGGTGATGTCCAGCTTACCTGCAAGGGGACACACATGCACGTGTCAGTGGCTTGACCACAGGGAGAGGGAAGATAGTAGTATTGATGATCCTGTAGGTTGGAAGATGGTTGTTGGGGTCTCTGTTGGCTGGTGAGGGGTTCCCAGACACAAGGTGGGGACCCACGGTGCATCTCACACCAATACCGTGTGAGCAACCAGTGCATAACGACCTCCACATCCAAGAAGTCCTTAGGACGAGTAACCTGTCACCTTGTCTATCTAGATGGTACATCCAGCTTCTGCAACACCCTGTAATCAGAGTCTCCAGTGTCTGGCTCTGCCAGCTCTAGGAAGTTGCTATGCACCAGTCAGTGTCCCCCATGCTGGCACTGAGGTTTCAGACATCACTATCCCAGCGTGTCAAATGTGCACACACAGCTGACATACCTACTGGGACAAAGATCTGCATGGAGAAGCAGCAGCACTGACAAGGACATCGCATCTCTATCCTGGCTTACCCTTTTTTTATTTTTCCAGGAGGACAACGTTTTCCCTGCTTTGAATTCATAACGCTTTTCAGCAAAGGAGACATGGGCGTTTGGGCTTTATGTGCACCTGTGACTGTGTGGAGGGTTAAACAGTCCTAAATATTGGAAGAGAAACACACCTACTGCATCAAATGGGCTCAGAAAAGTAGAGAAATCATCAGAAAATGAAGAAAAGCAGAGTAAAAGGCAAGAGTATCCTGTAGGCCATCACTCAGTGGAGATAAACAAAAAGAAGGCTCTGGAGTCAGTTTAGGGGAATAAAAATAAGCAGCAGGAGAGAAGAAACTGTGTTCTTAACAGCCGCCTCGTAAGCTGGTGGAGGGTGCCCAGCACCGAAGCTGACTCCCTGGGGAGACCCAGTCTGCGTGGCTGGAATAACAAGCTCCTCCGTTCATGATGTCTGTCTGGTTACCACCACTCTGAAAAATCTGTCTCCAGCGAGGCAATCAAGTTGTCTCTCAAGCAGAGATGGAAGGAAACTCTTTTCTCCTTAGGGAAAATAACACACAGCTCTCAAATATATATGAAGTTTGAAAAATAATGTTTTGGAGGGATTGGATTCTTCTGCTGTTATTTCCTCCTGCCTGAAGTGTATTTTTTTCAAGTTCTTGAGAACACAGCTACATGAAGAGCCACATAAACCAAGGTCTTCTTCACATCCCCCTCCTAAAATAAGTCCTGTAGGGAGGGCAGCACAGCAGCATGCCATGGCATCCCACACCTCCTGCCTGAAATGGGGAGCAGGACAGGGCTCAACCCTCTAGAGCTCAGTCTCCTCATGCCACCCTGAG